TGGTTCTTGTTGTGAAAGAGCATCATGTCAACATTCTCAACTGTGAGCGTGCTCCTTCTCATTGAAATCAGTTCTCCAGCCGAATATCCTTTCAGACGAAACTGAGGTAGCTACAGTGCATAGGTATTGCCTAACACTCGTAACTAGAGTTGGGTATACATGAGCATTCTCCTTTCACCACTTGAGAGGACACTCGGATCTAGAAATGACAGGGGATCTCATGAACTGTTGAACTTCAGTGTAGGCTGATGTACTGCTAGTTCTCTGAGTAGCTACCTGAGCAACCTGTTTATCAAATACCTTCCAGAGGTCATTAGATTGTGGCTCTGCAGACTGGATTGAGACTGATGGCTCATTGACCCTACTGTTACCTGCCGGAACATCAACAGAAGCCTCAGATATATGAATCCTGACACCTCTCTCTGCTGCATCTTTATCAGAAAAAGCGAGCTTCTTAAATCTAGCGTCCAGCAGAGTCGACACAGAAAGGAGGTTACTTTCTTCCATCCCTAAAAACAGTGCCCTCATTTCTGTAACTAGGCTCTCTGCCAGGGAATGTGATGTCACTGAAGTGGATTCTAAACGTTGAAGACACCTTGAGATCAGTATAATCTTTGACCCAGATATGTAGTTTTCACTTGATATTTCTCTCGTCACAGATTCGAATGGGGTGAGAATTTTTACTACCTCCTGGAGTGCAGTATTCCTTTCTCTAGGAATCATTAGATCATTGCGGTCTAGCAAACACAAGGTGGTCTTGATTGCTTCATATTGCTCAAGATATCGTTCTAGCATATAATAGGTGGAATTCCACCTTGTGTCTACCTGCTGGATCAACTTGTGTTCGGGTAAGTTGAGACGCTTCTGATTTAAATGAGGGCTATCCATTGCCTTTGAACTATGGTGAAAAAAACTGACAATCTTCTTCACACTTCCAACTAGAGTGACAAGCTCCTGGTCATGACTGATGGAAGTGGCAACAATGAGGTTTATCGTGTGTGCCAGACAGGATAGAAGGCTCCATTGGTTCAGTCATATAGCTTGCTTGATATTATTAGCACTGTCTGATATGCAACAGTGTACCTTCTCTGTGATCC